TCAAACTCCCTACCTTTTTTTTTTTTTTTTTTTTTTTTGAAGAAATATGATATTCACTCCGAGATAAGCAGGGTTAAGGGGATTTGTCTTTTCCTTCTCCTTCTCCCCCTTCTCCCTGTGAAGATTTAAAGACGAGCTGCTATATTTTCATCACATTTAGGGATAGTCGCGGTGTCTCCCTCTCACGTCCAGTCGCAGTTCCTCTCCCCCGCGCTGTGTTCCTCTGCGAAACGTGTCAGACCACCGCGTGTGCGTCGGGGAATGACTGCGTGTCTGGAGAGTCTGGCCCATAAACTTAACAAGCCAGCCTACTTTCTGGCTTTCGGGGTGGAGGGAAGAATAGGAAGTCGAGAAAATGATTTAGCGCGCCGCGTAATTAAAACAAATCTCCACAATCCTCACGATCATCCTTTAAGGTGATAAAGTTCACGTCAAAAAAAAAATAAAAATAAAAAAATGAAAAACGTGTCTTCTGCTAGTTATCGAACATTAAAACAGCAGAGACGGGACAAAAGTTGCAACCCCCTTTACTCTGCCAACCCTAAATAAAATAAGCTGCGTTTCCTTCAGAACTCGGTCATGTGTAATTTATCCTCGAAATAAATCCTGCTGGTTTGTGAAGGCATCTTAGAGGTGTTAGGAAACACGGGCTGCGCAGCGAAGACGCAAGTCGTCGTTGTTGCCTTGCAGCAAGAAGGTCCTGGGTTCGAATCCCGGCCTTTCTGTGTTGAGTTTGCATCTTCTTCCTGTGCATGTGTGGGTTCTCCCACAATCGGATTTATTCGATCTTAGTTTGTCTTGTCAATCAAGAATTCTTTCTGCAGACTACCTAAAAGTCCTAGGCAGGATTTACATTGGGTCCCCATTCCCACTTCACGCTATCATTTAAAATTATGGCACCTCAAATGATGAGACAGTAAATTTTATTTAGTCTGGCAGTTGTGTCCATAATGCAGCTCTTTGTCAGTCTATTTGAATTGTAAAAAAAAAAAAAAAAACTTTCAAATTTCGTAAACAAATTAAGAATCTGTGCCATTCATATCTCTCTTTTAATCAGAGGCTTATTTTTGACAAGTCTTTTAAGATATAAAATCATCTGTGTGAGCTATCAAGTACTCTCCGGTCCGCCTGCTGGCCCCCAGTTTGCTCATGAGTTTGTCTATCTCTAATTAAAGTAATTAATGAGAAAGAAGCATCCTATTTTAGTTTTTACACTTCAAGGTCACAATTTTATAAAAGTGTTCCTCACAGAGGTATTTTTTCCCCATACTCTCATCATCATGGAACATTATTTTCCAAGAATAATGTCTGATTTTAGAAAGAGGTGTTTTTACACATATTTGTAAGATGATTAAAACTGGCCTACAGAAAGTCTTTCACAACAAAGACCCTGGGTGATCTTCAACAGTGGTTGCAAAATAAAACTTTTTTCTGGAGGACTGATTCTCAATTTTGATGTAACTGATTTTTTTTTTCTCTTTTTTCTCTTTTCACAGTTTCCTATTTAACCATTTTTTTGTTTGTTTTTTTTTCCTCTTTTTTGGATATTGGGCTATTTTTCCCTGGCTCTCTCATTTCCTCTCTCTGTGTACTCCCAATACCCAGAGTGAGAGAGAGGAAGAAATGCCAAGCCTTTCCATCTGGGAACTTTTTCATCCTCACGTAAACACTGTCACACGTACGTTTTCCAGTTATTTACACACACCACTTGAATCACTGCTCCTCATAGATGGAAATCAATTTGACATTCATTACTTTCCATGCAATTGGATATAGACACACATAGCTGCATTTTAATCTGTATGTATTTTTCTTTTTCTGCAGAAAAGTATGCAGACCAGATCAATGCCCTGCAGGGGGTTGATGGCAGTAAAGGTCAGATAAACTCGTTTTGCAGACGATATTTCATCTTCTTCTTATTCTCTCCTTTGGGAAGTGAATGTAGATGCAAGTCTTTCTCTGTGCTTGTGTGCATCCTGCTGTGGTTCACTTGATTATGGTGTTAGTCTATAGCCAGAGGGCTTGGCATTCAAATTAAACTCGCTTTGCCCTGTAACACCGAGAAGCTAACGTGTCTTTAGAGATCGCTTTGTCTTGAGTCAGCACTGCCATGTTTTGTTTTCTATTCGAGGCATGCAGAGAGAATTATCAAGATTTGCATCTTTGATCCATGGTCTTTGGTGGTGATTTGTTGAGTGCTAATGGAAAAGTGGCTGCTGTTTGACACTTTTCAGCAAACACTTTGCATACCCTGCAGAAATAGACAAGTTACCTGTTTCTTCTGACTGTCTGGCATTAAAATAAATTTCTCCCTTTTTCAGATATCAACAAAATGAAGGTCCTTGTCCATGAGGGCACTTGTTTCACACTAAAACTTGATGTCTGGAACACAGCACACATTTCCTTCCTGAGCAGTGGTGTCTTCATGCATCTGAGGAGTGGATGCAACAGTTTTCTTCAGTTCACTATTTTTAATATGCTGGCCAATTTATTTGATTGGATGTCAGACCAGACATCCCATAAATGATGTCTGACCAGAAAGTGATGGAGTTGAGGCATTGCCTTTAAAAAAAATCCATAAGCAACTTCATTCATGAACTACTATAACCTTGCAAATGGATGCCATCATTATCTGGACTTTTGCAAGTGGAGATGATAATAATATTAGTAATTATTGTGGTATTTAGCAAATCATTTCTATGATACTAACTGACCTAAACCAGGAAAAATAACTTAATGTCAGACTCAACAAGCAACAAAACCAAACAGCTATACAACCTGTCTATTACATCTATCACTATTTAGTTACTATTATACTTGAGTGTAGATTACAATCTAACGCTGGATCCATAAACTATCCTGTTTACCTAATCTCAAATTATTTCTTTATTTCTCATCGGAGAGAGAATTCTTTTACTGTTTGTTATCCATGTTTTCTCAGACTTTTTTTTTTATTTGATCAGATAGCATCCCATCTAATCCAATAACAAACACAGGAAGTTGCTGTGTTGGAGCAGAGCAGACAGTACGCTGGAGAGGAGACCGCTCTCCGGTCAACCACTTACAAATGGGATCTGGCTTTAGCCTGACATGATGCAAAACAGCCGTTGTGCGCGCTTAGCAGTTTAGCAACGTGTGCTACAATGGACAGCATTCGATTTGTCAAACATGTCAGAAATTAAAACTACATCCCATATCTGTAGCATCCATTTGTGCAGAAACACCAAAAGAAAGCTTCATCTCAACAAGAAGTGCAAAGGAAATGCAGGGTAAGAGCAAATGTGCAATTTCTTAGACAGTAGTGTGCCATTTACAAAATGACTATACAATTATAGAGACTGGAGATTGCACCGAATATACAAGACTACAGCAGAGACCTAACATGTGATTACATGCCCAAGCACAGAAAAAGACAAGCGAGCATGCGTTTGTCTGCTCATGTAAAATATTCTAAACATACGTTGTTTATGTTGTCATCTGCCTCCGTCATTGATTTTTGTTTTGCAACTCAAACATCTGTAAGTGACCTTCTGGTCTTCATTTAGAGCACCAGAAACATAGCCCTATGATGAAACCTCCTACCTCAGTTGTTGTAGTTTACATTGTAAAAAACCCCATCTGTAAACCTTTACTTCACTCTCTGAACATGACTGAATATGTCTTTTTTTTTTCATTTATCACTCAAAGTGATACACTGTGCAACGTGTGTACAGAGATTAAACTAATGATTACCCTGAAAATGAGTTCAAATGACTCAAACTTAAATAATATGTCAAAAATGTTTGATTTACATTTTTTTGGGGGGGGGGGTTCTTTGCTAAAATTCTTTTGATTTTATGAAACACTTATGTAAATCATCCTAACACTCATTGGAAGACTCTACGGCATATTCATCCCTGCCCTGCCCCCTTCAAATATTCCTTATTTTCAGACAGACATATAAACTGCATGTAGAAAGGAACTAAAAAGAAAAGAGGGGAAAAACAAAGGACCATAACACCTGGGGGGAAAATGTTCTTAGGAGAGGGTGATTTGTGTTTTTCAAACACAATTCAGTCCTTGTTCAAGTTCCACTCAACTTAATTGTCATTTTGAATGCATGGTAACCATCACAAAAGTAAATACAGGATGCTACTTTATAAGATGATTTCATTCAGTAAGAGAAAAGCTACCTAACCCAACCTGGCTCTACAGTGATGGGGGAAAAAAGTGTTTGCACCTTTCCTGTTTTCTTAAAGTGTTTTTAAAGTGTTTCAGAACATCAAACCAGTTTAAATGTTCGTCAAAGACAATGCAAGTAAATACAAAAACAAATGGTGGTGTTCATTCTTAAGGGAGAAAAAAAATCCTAACCTCCATAACCCTGTGTGAAAAAGGGATTGCCCTCTAAACTTAATAACTGTTTCTGGCACTCTTGGCAGCAAAACCTGCTATGGAGTATTTGTTTTGCCTGACTTTGATCACTGTGGAGGAATTTTGGCACACTCATTTGCGCTAATTCAGCTGCTTTGGATAGGTTTTGAAGCATGACTGTCTTGTTTAAGTTGATGCCAGAGGATCTTCACTAGATTTCAGTCAGATATTTTGTCTCCACTTGAACATTATTGTTGTGTTTTCTTTTTGTTATTTCTGGTATTTTTTGCTTGTTTTCCTGTACGCTCTGACCTCATCTGGAGATAGAAAACTGATATGATGGTCATATTTGTCCTTTAAGTGGGGCCCTTTAAGGTCACATCGGACATTTTTTTTTTTTTTTGGACACCCAAGCTTAGATTGCTTCAGGCTGGTCTGCATCCACACCACACCCCTAGTTTAATTCTACTCAATTAAAGACTCTCCTTGCAAGGACCTCAAAACTACTCTAGAGACATTTTAATCACTCTAAGTAGTAAAATTCCCAAAGAAGCTCGAGGCTAAAGACTTAGTTACCCTGTGATTTTGAGCAACTGAGAATTACAGTCAAATTTATTGTCCAAAAGAGTAAAAATCCAGTTACTGTGTGAGGTTTCATATTTTCTTTATTGCATGCCAAAATACTACATTTACTACTTAGAAATGGATTTACTGACTTAGCTAATTAAGTTGTAAATGTTTTCTGATACCATGGTGAATATAAAGATGTCAGAAATGACAGAAGCTGTAGAGAACTGTATTGCTGTTTGTCGTGCTTGTGCACAGCATATGTGTCAGTTCATGTACGTTTGCCCTGCTGTGGATACAGGACCAGTCCCTGTGTGTCAGTCACACAGGAGAAAGCCTCCGGGGGAATCGTCTCCTCTTCCAGGAGATTATATTCCAGGTGGACAGAAACCAAGGTGAAGCCAGAATTACCAGGGTGGCACACTGCCCACTGCTCCACCTGCCTAAAACCACAGAACACAGATCTAAATTAGATCTAGGTAAAGGTTGTTTCAGGGAAAACATAAAGATTTTAAACATTTCAAATGCATCCCTACCTGATCTGGTTGTTTTCCAGTCTCAGCACCTGCAGGTTCTTGAACTGCCTGACACATCTGGGAATGTCCTGCAGTCTGTTGCTGCCAAGTAGGAGCTCGCGCATGGAGCGGTAGGTTCCAACGAAGGAATGCCGCTCTACACCCTCGGTGCTCAGTTCGTTGTGGGACAGATGAAGGGACTGCAGGCCAGCACGCATGTGGCGGAATGCGAAGGCAGGAATGTGACGTATGCTGTTGTGCTGCAGGATCAGTTTACGGAGGAAGCGAGGCAGATTCACAGGGATGGAGGTGAGGCGGTTGTGCGACAGGTCCAACTCTTCCAGAGATCTGAGAAATAAACAATCGGGAATCCAAGTTTCAGTCATGTGATTCTGTTTGCCATATCAATGAAAACAACATTACTTTATGCTCAATTTGACACTCGCATCCAAAATGACCTCTCATAGCTATCTAATGAAAACATCTTTGCCTCATTAATTATAGTGTTGTACATTTTTAACGTTTCACACTAAACCTATTGCATAATTTCTTGTAATAGGTTAATGTAAACAGATGATTAGAGATCTGAGAAAATAATCGTGTAAAAATACAATAAAGACACTTGGGCCTCTTGGTTATCTGGTTAAATCTGCGGTTATAAACCTTAGGATTAATCTTCAACTCAGGTTGTCTGACATGACAAAATCATATCAGATCTTTGTCTCATTCCTGACTCTACAATTTGTGAAATATTGCCAAAGTTAGTCCCGTTAGCTCTTGTCCAGAAATTGAAATATCAGTTAATACTTTTGTTTCATCTTGTCTGGATTTTTGCGAGGCGTGGAACACATGTCTAAGCAAAATGTCCCTAAACCAGTTGCAATCTGTGCACAATGCTGCTGCTAGACTCCTGGCTGGATCATCAACTTCACTGGCTCCTGGCTTATTAAGATATGTTTGACGTGGCGATCGCTGCATGGAAAAAGATCAATCTAAATCTCAGACCATTTACGTGTCATTAGGGCTGTGAAGTTCTGTGATCATGCCTTGTTGACTGTTTCCCATACAATTAAAGACTGAAGGAGATAGAAGCTTTTATTCTGTGGCTCTGGAACATCCTTCAACCAACTCTCATATGGGCAGACTCAGAGGCTACCTTTAAAAGTCAGCTGAAAACATATTTTTAAATCTGCTTTTGCTTACATTTTTTATCCTGCTATTTTAAGCACTCTGTGATTTAATCTCTTGAAAGTTGCAATTTCAATGATGTTTCAAATCACAGCACACAATGTTTTATAGGTCTCTGGATTGAACATTTTAATGTATGCCCAACAATCCATCATTGCCTCCTGTTTTACATTTACTGGACTCTCATGAGCATTGCAGGAGAGGCCAAAAGCTAAAACTGCAGACAAATATTGAAGAAGGCCAGGAAAGCTAATAATGCACTTTGGGCAAAGGTAGGAGCTGGGGAGTATGGTAGAGAATACAAAAGGATATGGTATGTTGTCCAAATATTATAATAATACAAGTTTTAGTTTACAGAAAACAGGGTAAATGTCTGCAGGGACAGAGGGATAAATTCTTGTTTCCGAGGCAAAGATGCAGAAGAGATCCATATTTTTATTGCATGATCCCACACAGCTGTTATGAGTTTGATGCAAGAATCACAGCAGGAGACAGGCCTCATTTTCTGTTCTTTCCCAATAGGAATAGACAAAAGCAGCTAATGCCCTTATGGTCAAGAGATTTGGGTATCATTGAGAAAAGAAAAACAAATTGGTGTGTTTCCCTTTTTGGTCCCGAAGTTATGACAAAGAAGGGAGACACTCCAATTTTAAGGCAAATAATGAAAATGTTTATTAACTTAGCATAGGTTTTAAACAAAAGAATAGCAGTATGGTAAGATGACAACCCAAAACAAAACAGATGAAAACCAGGACACTAACCCAGTATTTCCCAACCCTGGTCCTCAAGGCACACTGCCCTGCATGTCATAGATGTCTCCCTGCGTTGGTAATCCTGATTCAGGTGATTGTAGTCCAGCAAGTGCCTGTAAATCATGCACCAATTGAAATCAGCTGGGCTGAAGCTGAGCTGAAACGCCTGAAATGTGTAGGGCAGTTCAGGCCCAACCCTGGCTGTGAGGACCAGGGTTGGAAACACTGCACTAGCCAACATAAGACCTAACTAAATCCAGCAAAACAACGCAATTAAACATGTCCCAACCAACAAACCTAAATGCTAAGGGGGAAGCATGAGCAGCCCCTTGGTGTGAGGAGCTGCCAGGTTCAAGTAGAATAGGAACATTGTCCCAGTTGCTCCGAGTCAGGGTCCAAATCCAAGCAACACCCAATTTCACCTGACAAACAAAGATAGTTAATCAGGGGAAGATAGGGGTTTTCACAGTCTCACGTCGATCCAGGCCTTCGGTAGGGTCATTAGTTTGAGGAAGTCTCTGTTTACGCTCATCCATTGAACTTGAAAACTCTGAGGTTTCACTGTTTATTGGGCTTGTTCCTCTGTATGACAGACCTTACCATTTCTGTTGATTTATGATGATTTGCAAGATTCACACTAAAATTTAGAGAAAGAATCAGGTCCTGCTCTTGCAGGATGATTTAAAATCGTGGCCTGGCTTCCTTCAGAGAAACTTATGAATAATCTCAGAGGAATTATCTTACACCAGCATACAACAAAAGGCTTTTTGTTGAACCTTCCCTCTGCTTTCTTACGCATTTAACTATGTTGTTCGTGCTCTGAAATCCTACGTATCTGTCCCTGCACCAGTTCAGACCAGTTGTGCGCTGCTGACTTGTGTTCGAAATCTTTGCCAGTAAGCACAGTGGCAGTCCGCCACAACTCAGAGCTCCACATGGGATTAATGAGTGGAGACACAGAGCTCTCTTCTCAGGAAGAACTGTAGAAGCCTCCACCACCCACACTCCCCACCCTCACTCCACCCACAGGCATCTGCACACAAAAACACATACGCACATTCAAACAAATGACGTGAAACAGATCAACTATCTCACACAGAACTCTCCTCTGCACTGTTACTTCTGCAACCACATAAAGGTACACGGGACAGAAGAAAACTGAATGTTTTTGTCTTTACAAGACTGGGTGTCGAAGTGTTTACGCAAACCGTGACCAAGTACAACCTCAAAAAAGAAGAAAAAAAAAAAGCACACTAACAGTACTTTGTAATGCACACATGTCCATCTGTGTCAGCATCACACATGGCAGTTGCAGAACACTGGCAGTCAAGCAGGACAGCGTTAAGTCAGCCAGAGCGGCTGTGCCAGGTAAGAAAAGAAAGACAAAGTGCGGACTTGAAAATACACTGATGGATGAAGAATGGCAGGACACGACTTGGGCTTTATTAAAGCAACATGTGCGCGTTTGTGCAACCCGAATGTATTCACTCAAACTGATTTCTGGGAGTGCTTTGAACAATTTGTCAAATCTCTGCAAAACACACCAGCAAATATTTGGATTTGAATACAGCTAAAACTTTATTTGATTTACTGTAGCTGGACTTCTTTTGCTTCAAGTATTTTGTATTCGACGACGTTCAGTAAAATAAGAAAAAAAGCTACCGTTCAAAATGCGGATGAAACCCTTACGTGAACTGATGCTCATTTAATTAAATCCCTCTCATTTGATGTCAGTGTGGTTTTATCATAGGCGGGGTGTGCAGTGTGCAATGATGTGCGCAATTCTGCTTGTGTTACTGCTTACATAAGCTCATTATGAAACCAATTTGTGTGGGACCAAAGACAAAAAGAGATTTTGGGACAAGCTTATTTAGGCTAAGACTCAACATGGCACCACACACATACATGCGGGCGTATACGTATGCGTGCTCACACACGCACACACACGAATGCACACACGCACTTCTGGTTTGATGATCGCTAACCCAATATCACCATGTACTCACTCTGATTGTAGTGTTTGGAAATCAGCAGAGCTCTCCCACAGCTGTCTGTCTGCCAACACCACTACATTAATAAAAGTCAAAAATTCAACACAGCCACATGTTCATGCATAAAACAAAACACAACGAAGCACTGTTTTGTAAGGGGCTTATCACAAAAAGCTAGGTTACAAGTATTTCACTAATAAATATGCTTTATGGGGATCATTCAAAAATGCAACCATTTGCATTTGGGGGTTTATGTAAGAGCAATCAGTGAAAGTAGAGCTCCGTTCTTTTTACATGTGAAGTGGTGAGTCAAATTTGTTGGCTGGAAGCAGTGATGTGAGCAAAGATCAACGTTGACTGACGTCCAGATCGAGAACCAGGAGCAGATAAACAGGCGTTGTTGTTTTGTTGTTGTTGTTTTTTTTCTTCTTTGTTTTACAGCTGGAAGAATAAGGAGGACAGCTTTTGTTGCGCTGCTTCAGATTGCCACTGGAACAGAATTAATGCTAAGCTACTGCACAACCACTTACGTAACAAGAATATCTGATAAACACATACAAAGAGGGCACAGAGGTTAACATGGCTGGAAAGGTGTTAAGATGTCATATTTAAATAAATATGGGTCTGACATGAAATGGCTCATTGAAATAGTAGTTTCATTACTTTACTTACCAGAATACAATGAAAATATTTTCATAGTAACAAAGAATTAAAATGGAACATCAAGATGTGTTTTGTAAAAAATCATGTTAGAATCCATACACTGAAAAACTAGGAGCACATTTTGCATTTCCATAGGAATTTAATAAAAATAGAAGTTGAGTTATGATAAGCTAATGATCTTTATCATCTGAGGTTTTATCATTTATACACCTCAGATGATTTTTGTTTAACACAATAAAAAATGGAAAATGGGAATAACCATCACTCCATAAATATATGCAAAGCTTTTAATGTGAGCATACAACTTTCCTCCACAATGTCAACTTGAAAAGCATCAGCAAAGATCTTAGAGGGATTACATTTTCTGCCTATTACTCATAGAATGGTAATAATAATTTTGTTTATTTGATGTATAATTATTTTTCACCATAATTATGCAGCAAGGAAGATTATTCACAAGAAGAAACCCTTCAAAGCAGCTGCCAGTTTTCCTGGATTCAGAGCTTCCTGCGAGTTCAGACCAAGGTCACATTGTGCAACACTCAAAAACAACTGAAATAAACCTAAAAGTTAAATCTTAAAATCCACTTTTAAATGTTAAAGTGGCAAAAGACGGAGCGCTGTTATGGACTGTTTGGACAGATTCCAGGGAAAACGCTTCATAGCTCTTAATGAGCAAGCAGCACAGCATACGTTTGTGAACAGACACAGATCCATGACTTGTGCAATGATGAACTTTAAAAGAACACAACAAAGATATAAATAATTGACCATTATGTACAGCCCATTTTATGAAAAGCAGTCATAAGATATCAGCACAAGCAATACAAAGATGGTGGTAAAAATGTTATAATACAGACATAAGTACTTATGACTATATTACTCACAATGAGTAATATACCCCTGTATATAAAGCTGTCATTGTGAGACCGGAAGGTAGGCTAAAAATGGGAAATGGGAGGTTAAAAAGCACCGTAAATCCACAGGGGAACGTCTGAAAAACAAATGACTCAAGATGTTGCACTAGCCTCATAAATGTTTTGAGTTAACAGAGATGGTGATGCTGTGGCAGACACTAAAGAGACAGACAAAAATGTACTTCTACAAACTTCAATAAACGTCATTAACTCTCCACAGACATTTGAGACAATTACTTTAGCTTATTCTGCTAAGAACTTTTGAACCACGAAGTATAATTTGTTTATATATAAATAAAATATATATATATATATATTATATTATATATATATATATATTTTTTTTTTTTTTTTTTTTTTTTTTTCTGTTAATGATGTTGAAAGATTTGATGTGTGGTTATTCACTTTGTGTTGTAGTGGACTGCTAAGATTCCCTGATAATATCGACTTAAGTCGAGCATGCCTTCATAGTAAAGAAGTGAATTGTTTTCTACTGGCCAAACTTGAACTTCTGTGTTCATATGGCAGTAAAAAACAAAACAAAGCAACTTCTTCTGAATACTAAACAAATGTGTCCCCATTATGTTTATGACTCTGGGGATTTAAGTCATCTTTGCACTGCATATTTATTCTAACATTTTCCAGCTACACAGTATTAGGAAAGCAGATAATGCCATAATATTAAAGCAGCCCCACCAGTCTTCCAAAGACAGATCCCAGATTTTATCCCCAGTCCCAAACTCCCTGTAACTTCCTGTACACTCTAGCTTAAACCCCAGCAGGACGTAATAAACACTCCGACTGCAACACAGTGACCAGAGGCACTCCACTAACTAGAGCCAGCACATTGCATTATAGTATTTATTTTTAATTTCTCCCTTTTATTATTTTTTTTTTCCATTTGACTGTTTTGGACAACAACAAGAAAATAACCCCACAAGGATTGAGCTTTCTTGCAGATTCAGCATTATTGTCTTAAAATTAACGAGATCCTGGAGAGGGTGAGGTTAAACATTTCACAATCTGGTACCTATGCAAAGCTGTAAAAAGTTATAGAAATCTTTTAAAACAGAGCATTTATAATTTACCAATGGGACAGTTTCCACATTTATCAACAAGGCAAATGTCAGGCAATAAATGCACTATTATTAGTATCTAAAAGTCAAATTAAGGGCATTTTATTTATGTGGCCTTTGGATTTTCACAAGGATTGAGCTTTGCTTTGATTAAAAAAAATATGTAAGTGTTTGATTGTATCCCCTCTCTATCACTTTGCTTTGTGCATAACTTGCACAATCCCTTTTCAGCTGCCTCTCCTGCAGTCCCTTCTTCTGTTCCTCTGCGTTACTTGAACTTGCTCTGTGGTTCACAAGGATCCAAGGGAGAAAAAGACAAACCCTCCGGAATTCACTATATTTAAACAAACACACACACACACACGCACACACACACACAGGCACACAGTTGCCCTCGAGGTCTAAATCACACCCCTGCTCTTCTAAGTACACAAAGTCGACTGCCATGACTTGTAGAATATGTAAATATGACAGCATAAGAGAAAGTGAGGGAAGGGGAAGAAAATAAGAACTTTGTGTGCTGAAAATAATTACTGTAATACCATAAAAAAAGTTTGTAATTGAGAATAACACCAGCTCGATGTATTGATTATGACAATAGTATACTATTGCTGGTCCGTTAAAAAAAAGAAAAAAATAAAACAAGCAAAAAAAAAAAAATACTTTATTTCGCTTGGTTTACTTCAGACCTAATTATATGTAGATAAAACTGGTCAGAGCTTCCCAAGGGCAGCTTGCCCTCTTGTGGCAAATGGAGGTACTACATAAATGATACTTACCTAAGACGGGTCCAGGAGTTGCTATTGATGCTTTGATCGTGGATATAGTTATGACTCAGATCCAGCACTTTCAGATGAATGCAGTCCCTTAAGGCCTCAACGGCCACCTCTTCAATCAGGTTTCCATTCACTTTCAGCACCTTAAAAATAGTGAAGAAGGTAAATGTTAAATAAAGCAACTCCTGAGAAGAAATCGGAGAGATGATGTTCAACTTGGGGACATTACTTTAGAATCTGACTGTGCTTAAAGATTGAATACCTGACCTTAACGGTGTTTCTTGTGGTCTGCTCACTAATGTTCTCTAACAAACCTTCACAAAACAACTGCCTTCACAAACAAGAGAACTTGTTGGTAAAGATTTTTATTTCATGGATCCCTTTCCTCCAACTGCCCAATTATGCATGTGCTGGTTATAGCATTATACTAAGAAGTTTGAGATTATAACTTAACAAAATTAGTTACTTTGCTCTTCACTTTAGGGAATATACCACAGGTTCCAACAAATGTGTAAAAGCACCTGAAGAGACGAAGGAAGGCCCAGAGGGAGGGACCGGAAGCGGTTGTTGTCCAGCCGCAGCTCCAGGAGCTTCTGCAGAGGTCGAAAAGCTGCAGGTGACACGCTGGCTTCATAAAGGGTGTTCATCCTTAGCTCCAGCTTCAACAGGTTTTTCACACCTAAAATAAAAATGTAAAATGCTTGTTTTATGTTTGGGTTTTTTTTTTGGGGGGGGGGGTTGCAGTTTTTGTCTTGTGTTTTTCTTTCTATAACATATGCTAGTTGTACCTTGGAAGCAATGATCCGTGAGAACAGTGAGTTTGTTCTTATTAATCTTGAGCTCCTCTAGAGATGCTGGCAGTGCTGGAATTCTGGAGATCTGGTTGTCGCCAAGATCCAGTTTTCTCAAAAAGGTCAAGTTCTGCATAGAAACCCGATTTCAGAACGAGATAAAATGGCCAGTGTGATTAAAAAAGACAAAATAGAAGCCTGCCTTGAAGTCCATAATTTCATATTCCACTCGGAGTTTACAGAAAAGAACCAAATGAAAGAATTGCTATTCTGTGAATCTCTTCCATGTCATTTATCATGTTTTATTTTTAGTAAAACCACCGTGGGAGGTTTCTCGGTACAAATGGCTCCGGTGGTTTATGTGTGAGGGAAAGCAGAGGACAGAATCTTTTACAGTGTCCCTCCAGCCAGTCCATCAGCCCTCTGTCATTATGGTGAGGTGAGGAGAAAAAGGGGAGAAAAAAAGAATACTCTTCCAAAAATAATTTCCTTTTGTTCCTCAACGCATTGGCTTCAGTGTATCAGTGGTGAGGAGTAATGATTGGTCAGAACAGAGCGGTCGCCTCGGTGTGGTTGGGTTCTGAGTATGGCATGGAATCAATCGAAGGTTTTACTTAGAAAGCATCTGTTAATGCAACTTCAATTATCCTGACTCCTCGCTGTAAAGTGACTCATGCGATCTGCTCATTAAAAGAGTGCACATGTTCTATAAAGACTTACAAACCGGAGGAAAGTCGTAGATGAAGAAGGTTAAAATTTGCAATGAAGATCTTCTGTTTGGCATAAATTTTTATTTGATTCTTTTATTTTCTGTGGATAAACAAGGCATTGTGAAAGAAATATTATATCACCAGGCAGGTCCATCTCAAAAAATTAGAATTTTGTTGAATAGTTCAATTATTAAATAATTCAATTCCAAAAGTGACATCCCTAATGCCAATCTTCATTACAGAAAGGCTGTATTGTTAATGTATTTGTTAATTCAAATGAAGATGGCTTGCAAATTATAAAAACACAAACTTGAGTTTCTTAGAAGTTAAAATAATGCATAGCACCAATAAAAACTGATCTAAATGGAGATGTTAGACAATGGCTATGTTATAGCCAACATAATCAGAGGAAAGTCAGCTAACTTGGTAGCTGTCCATTAGATAGTCAGCAGCTATGTTTCTGTTAACTGTAGAGTTGTGCAAATTGAAATTACAAAAATAAATGTCACATCAAAGAACATTCTTTGGGAAAAAAACAAACATGTTTTCAATAAGAAAGTTTCGCGCTAGAAGGAGGTGGTTTTCCGGCTGTGTCGAAATAAACAAAATACACTTTTTCGCATCACGCCAGTCACATAATCAACAGTCGGATGTTGCTACAGTTGAAAACAACGAAGAAGACCACAGGAAGTAGCAGGATGATGTTTTTGTTTTGTTTTGTTTTTCGGACAATGTGCAGCTGGCTCCAAGAGAGCTCTCACATTAACGGACTGTTCATAAACGTGTGTCAATCGAACATTTGAATTCATAGCTTCTCTGTAAAATTGATGACTACAATTTCCCCAAATTGCTGCTCCAACTGGATAAGACACCGACGTCTTGTGCCTTGGCTGAATTATGAATATATGTCATGTTACTGTCTACATTATTCATTGTCATGATTTTTAATGACCTATCACATACACTAGCTTAATTACAGTGTGGTTTAAATTAAATTAATAATTTAATGAAAACAGTTCAATTATGAAATTGTAGAATAGACATTAGCACTCCATAATCATGGAAAAGTAGCTACTGAAAAGCCAAAAAATTAACACTATAGACACTAGCTACTTAATGTATCCAGGTAGAGTAGGTAGAATAATTTTTGAATAATGTTATGGACTATATGTATTAAATGCATGGTGAAAATTTCATATCAGTAACCTCTCTAGAAATATGTTTACTGTGAAAACTTGTGATGTGTTCAATTGTAATTTTACATGTCGTATATCAGCGAAAGATTAAGCAGATGGTCCACAAGTATCAGGAACAACGACACCCTGGAAAAGGTTTAGGAACAAAACCCATTTCAGTGTTTGAGAAAGATCCAAAGGCATGCAGCTGGAGTCAAAAACTATCACACAAAGATAGATCCAGGGCATAGTCAAAACCTTTTGCATCCTTTATCTTAAGCCTCAAGAGAAAGTGTTTCATCTAGACAAGAAAGAAAAAAGATTGGTGTAAGTGGTTTTAAGGGTTTTTTTTTTCTTTTAAGATAGAAGTCAAGGCTAAAGAGTCTTGGGGAAGAGAAAAAAGTCACATAATCCAAGTTGCTTAAAGTCCAGTGGAAAGTTTCTGCAGTCAGAGATGATTTGGGGGAGCCATGTCATCTGCTGGTGTTGGTCCACTCCGTTTTATCAAGTTCAAATTCAGTGCAGACTTCTACCAGGAATCTGGGGAGCCTGTTAAGGTTCCCTCTGCTGACAGGCTTTATGGAGATATAATGACAATGTTATCACAGTAATTGATAGGCCTCACATTCCTCCAACAATGCAGAGTTATGAAGGTAGTTATTGAAAAAACCTGGACTGCATTGATGCAATAATTTATGCAAGTGTATTTAGTGCTAACTTTTTAAAAAATATTTATACTTTTCTGGCTGCAGAAGGAGGTGATGAATGTAGATCTTTCCCTGCCAGTTTTAAGAAAGCAGCCATACTCACAAGCAGGCAGTTCTGGCCAAACGTCTCGTCGTCCAGTTGGTTCTGGCTCAGATCCAGTTCACCCAGGTTTCGCAGCCCAAATAAACTTTGTGGACTGATGATTCTGATGTTGTTTTCTTGGAACAGAAAATAATATGCAGTGCAATTATCACATCTGCACTGCATCTGCACTTCAAATATTGCTTCTGATGATAAAAAATCGTGGCAAAAAACAAAAATGAATATTGACAAACTTTTGAGCTCTTAATTAGATATTTTGACATCTCTTCTTCATTTCTTGCCAGCAACTTTTTGTATATATCATGGCAAAAACCATGTTTGGAGGAATCATGGAGAAGCTTGGAGAGGCTTTCACAACCTAAGAACACGGCGCCAAATGACGGTGGATCGTGCACGGTTTTGATACCAGCATCACACTGGAGAACTGCTGCATCACAAAAAGTGCTGGCATGAAATTTCTGCCATTTAAAACTACATGGAAATTTTCCTAGCACGGAAATCATATAGATATATATATATAGCCCTCATGTATAATTTTGAATCTATGTGGATTAACATAATCCACAATAAACAATAACTTAAATCACTGAAGTTGGATTTTTCAACATCAGATCATTCCAGAGAAAGAACGGTTATAATTAAAGCCCTAATTTAATCTGACAATCATGTAAGTGATAAATGAATATAAATTTCTGACTGGAATTTCAAAAAACAACAACAAAAAAAACAATGTATGGATAACACCAATTTTTAATTAAATAGAATGCTCTTTTTAATATTTTGTATTATTTCATTGAAATAATACAATGACAACAGTCCTGCCACACACACACACACCTCCCAAGTCAAGCTTTGTCACTCCCAGGTTCTGGAAAACTGGCAGGTGAGTCATCCCGACACCCCTGCAGCTTATCTCTGCGTCTGCAGTCTGGCATTCAGCTGGAGGTCCAGTAGAGTTGTACCGAGTTTCTGTTTGATTAGTAGGAGGCTCTGTGGACGCCTCCTCTTCTTCTTCTTCTTCTTCCTCCTCCTCCTCCTCTTCTTCTTCTTCCTCCTCCTCCTCCTCCTCTTCTTCCTCTTCCTCCGGAAATGAAACAGAAAAACTTTTTTACATACTGCACAGGTGATAATGATGTGTACAACAGCAGGATTTTGAATAAAATTAAACCTCTTCTTCTTCATCATCCTCGTCGTCATCATCGTCATCATCTTCCTCCTCCTCATCGCTGTCCTCCTCCTCTTCTTCTTCTTCCTCCTCCTCTTCCTCTTGTGTTTTTCCATTATCCATCAGTCGTTTCTTTTCCACATAAAGTTCCTTCAGTGTTGCCATAAGGAGGCTGGTTTCCATCTCTCCCTTTGCACTCTGTCTCCAGCCTTTCAGAGGTTGCCTTAATCCGGCCTGCAGAATACAGCAGCAAACCAGGGACATCACTAACTCAAGAGGAAAATAACAGAAATATCGACTTCAGATGAGTGGAAATGATGCAGAAAAATCTTTGAATATATTTACTATTCGATACGCAGCGGCCTCTGCTGTAGCAGCGTGCCTCCTCCTCCCCCAAGCACTTCTCCTTCCTCTGACAACCTCCAGCTTTTTACGACCAGCTTTCCTCTGACCTGTCTTTCTTTCTGATTCCAGTTGAGACTGCACTTCTGTTCCCGAGTCATTACAATTAAATTAAACAGTCAGTGAGACGCAAGTGAAATCAAACATTTACATCCACTGTATCAAAAAGACACATAATCATTTTTCACCCTTCCTGCTTGACATTAAGTCTGACTAGACTGTTTCTGTTTTAGGTCAGTTAAGATTAATTTTTTCCTCTTCGCTAAATACTAGAACATTGAGTGAGTTTGTTTTTTCAAATTCATATATTTATGTAGATATTGCAAGCTTTAGATAGATTTGATAGATTTTTTTCCCACAAGCTTGTCAGAAGAGTCTGCAGGAACTGAGGCTTCTTCCTCCTGACAGAACTGGTTTAATTAGTCAGGTTTGGCAGCCATCTTGCTTAGTTACATCTTTTCAGCTCTGTATGCATTTTTAATAGGCATAAAATCAGACGAGGCACACCAGATCATCATTTTTACGTGGTATCCTTGGGTTTACGGTTCATTTGTTAAACTTCCCAGTTCATGTTGAAATGAAGCTTCTGTAATCCACCTAATGTTCTTTTTAATAATCATCATTACTCTCAACAAAGTCAAACTCAATAAGTTGTTTGCATTCCTGGTACTATTTGCACAAAACAAATGTCAATACTAAATAATAATAGATAATATTTTATTATTTATTTATCTATTTTATGCAGAAATATATTTTGAAATTTTATATCCTTTATTAAGTTATCACCTAGAAAAGCAATCTACTCAGGCAGAGAGTTCTCTGAAACCATGTACTATTTATATACTGATAAATGTTTTTTGTTTCATTATGTCCTCAACGCTTTTTCTGTTACCATATTTTAACTAAAATGCATGCTTCCTTTCACCTGTCACTTTGCTTTTGGTATGCTGAAATGTCCTCACTGAGGCATTCTATTCTGTTCTAATAAACTTTTTTTAAAAATCTATTAAAACATAGCATGGCTTTTCTCTCTGAGTTGCCTTTCAGCCAGTATCTTAACAAGGTCTTCTGCTTTTGAAACATATTTCACACCGAAAAACAATGGACTCTGGGACACAGAATCTTCATGAACAATATTGCCTTGTTCTTACCGTGGCTCAGACTTGTTTGAACAGTTGCATGTGGTTCTTTGAGGCCACTAGTTATTTCACCCAATGATATACCTCTGCAAACTTGCAGAGGTCCACCAAATCTGGTCTGATTTGTTTTGAATTTTTTGATCTTAATCTTAAAATAAAGTGTTGTGTTTGATGTGTGACCCTAAGATAAGTTTTCAAGACTACCTCCAATGTTACATAAAAAAAGTCCTGTGTCTCTTTACACTAAATATTTGATTTCAAGTGCATACAAGAACATGGATGAAGAAACAAACTTAGATATTAAATCCATATTTGTTACGTTATTGGACATTTTATTGTGGAAAGCAGGCAGATAGAAACAGAAATGTTTTGTCATCTTACCAGTGATAAGCTGATCCAAAACTCTTTCCCCTGAATCAGTCCCTGATGGATGACTGGTAGCCATTTCTATTTCAGGTGCATCAGAGTTTATTTCCAGGATTGCATTCAGGTCATGCGATAATTCTTCGGTTTCCCCACAATAAATTGTGCCGCTCACACAAATGATCACAATCCACATGCTCTGAACTTGCATTATTAGATTTTTGCTCATTTACTCTTCGGTTTAGGTCCTACGTTTCTACCAGCCTTGAGGCAATAAAACAAAACAACAACAAAAAATATCACAAAGTTCAACGTAATTCCAAAGGACAAAAAAAAAAAAATTTTTGTCAAATAAATCCTTTTTCTAAAAATCCTTGTGCTTAGTATTAGATGTTCATTTTGTGAATGAGGAGAAAAGAAAGAGCATGGAAGGAAAATCTGGGAGGTGGACAGGTTGAAAAAATAAACTCTCACCATGCTAATAAAGGTACTCCATCATTATACCATGAAGCACAGACACGCCTCGCTCCTCCTTGTCTCCTCTCTCTCTCAAAACTGTCTGCAGACTGAGCAAAAAGAAGCGATTCCCATGCAACCTAAAAAAGAAAGAAATTCCAGTACAGAAAGCTTGAAAAATGAGAAAAAGTCTCATCTTAAAACATTTTTGATGAACTGATTTAGAAGACGTTGAGGACAGTGTGCACGTATCTTGGACGCGATTTGGCAGGGAACAGAGTTGATAGACGGGTCAAGCCAGAGACAACCATGTTTGGCCAGGCTCCACTAGCATCCACATATTAAAACAAATATGAACTCCAAGGAGAGAACAATATGGGAATCTTTACATTCTCTGCTTACATACTGTTCATGAACTGTGGAGTGTGCGAGTCGTCACACTCACCCTTTGCACCCAGCTCAGAGTGGAACCAACATGGGATTTTCACTGTGAGGTGAAACAAGCTGACAAACTTCCTTTTCTTTTTGAGGAAACCACACAGATGAGCAATAAATCTATTATGAGGTTCTTCAACTGGTTTAGGTCAATCTATATAACAATGAGACTCATGGATTAATTTGTGCTAACGGAGAGCATGATCATTTTCACACATTAGGTGCAGCGGTTGGGATAGAGGCGATAGACACAGTCCAAATGGCACCGTGGACAACTTCACACTAAACACTGAAACACTCAGGTCCTGATGCGCTCGTCCAAGGTAAACAGTAAAGTGTCCACAGATGATTCATTTTAGCCTCGACAGGAACATGCAGTAATGGGCTGACCACATTCGACACCCCTCCATAACCTCAGTCTGACAGCACAGCTAAATTACCAGCTTTCACCAGAAGGTATGGTGCCGAGTCTAGATTTTCCTTCCATATATAAAAAGGTTTAGTTTACCAACATGTATTGTTTATAATACCCACAGCTGTTATGATGTTCAGCAAAAAAAAAAGACCCTCATTGGAAACATTGTGTCATTTACAAGATCCAAAATAGCTAAAAAGAAAAAAACAAAAATCCCCCAATTTATCTTGCAAATTAAAAACACAAACCCTGTTAAAGATAATTTACAACTCCAGTTAGTACTGGTTCCACAGCGTTTTCTGGTGAGAAATGTAGTGTTGATGCCAAAGGGATTTTAACAGTAAAAACTGGCTTGTAAAGATAATTTTAGAATGGCAACAGATTTAGTTTCAAAAACAAACAAAATAAAGTGTCCATTACAACAAAGATATAGTCTGTTGCATAAGTTATTTAGTTATTACAGATATACACATTTAATGCTGTAACATAAAAACAAAACGAAAAAAAAAATACTCTGGAGATGCATAGGCACCTGTTGCAGTCTCATGGACAAACATTTCAGTTCTATTGTCACACAATATATTGGGATTATATGTAATAGACCACATTTTAATACACAATTATAAAGTGAAATAAAAAAATATACATTTCAGACTTTTGAAAAAAAATATAAATAAATATATATATATATATATATATATATATATATATATATATATATATATATATATATATATATATATATATAAAGTGGAGCATTTAGTCAAATTATATTTGGTTGAAACCAAGGGGAAAAAATATTTCTTCAGATTATTTAGATTGTTGATATCTGATTTAGGATGAGGATGTTTTAATGGATGAAAGGGATTTTTTTTTTTTTTTAACGGCATGCTGAAAAATGCTCTGCCAGGGTTAGATTATGTATTTTAAGCGTACAGTGGAATCACGATTTTCTGAAGCACAAATACACATTGAAATGCTGGTCCAGGAGTCCAGGGCATCCCCTCCACTTCCAGCACACTCAGCTCCTTCAAACTAGCAGCAGCAATTAGCAAACACCTGGTGAAACCGCACATCTGCTAATCTTATTATAGAAATCACTTCTCAGTCCAGTGCTCACACGAATGTAAACACTTACAGAAATGTTGATGTGGTCAAGGACAAATCTGAGAAAGAGGAGTTTCTTAAAGAGACAGAGGCCAATTTCAAGGCATTAAATTTTTTAGTCAATTATTTTTTTAAATCGTGTTTGATATACACAGCATTTTTTTCAAACAACTTAAAAGTGTCATAACTATTTGTGCTGTACAATTACAATAAGTGGCTGGAAAACATCCTCCACCTTTAATTACACAGAGTTAAGCGTTTCCAGTTGCTTCTTCTTTGAGAGAAACACAGCTAAACAAATCTAGGCGCTGAGCTTGAGGTCAACCAGTCAAATTTATCTCAAAGTAGATAAAGTGGAAAAAGCACAATGAAATTAGCATCAGGAAGAAAACAACATACAGCAATAACTGTGTTACGCCATGAACTTTTAATTTATCACATCACAGCTACAACAGGTGAGACTGAGAATCTGCAAACACTAAAAGCATTACTATATTTTGTGGGCTCAGGAATTGTTATGGAATGTCATTGTGTAACTTAATTCTGAGGTCAAGAAAACATTTGAGTTCTAAGCTAAAGGCTTTCCCAACAGTAAATATAGTATATTGCAAGAACAGCAGTGAAAGCCAGAGTTGGGGAAAACGATAAAATAAGAGGAATGATAACAAAAGTCTTGGCCTGAGTTAATTGACAATCAAAATTTGTACTGTCAAATTTTACAGTAGTTTTGAGTTTCAAGCATTAAAACTTTTTGGGGAAAGGAATGACCGACAAAGGTGATCAAAGGTAAAGGGGTTATTTGCAAAACACATTAGACTCTGCTCTTAAAATGCAATGCAAGACTAGTGAACGGCAGTTCTAAAGCCACAAGATGGCAGTAGAGAAGTTAACTGGTTTGGACGCTGTAGCTGATGCATGAAAGCTGTAGCATTTAGTTTGCAAAGGTCTGGCGGACAGCGGTGACGATGTGCTTGGCACTGATGCCAAAAACATCCAAGAGCTCCTGGGGCTTTCCACTGCGGGGCACGCCACTCACTGCCAACCGGGTAACCACAATGCCAGGCTCCCCCCCTACTGCAGACAGCACGGCTTCACCGAGACCACCTGGACAGAGACAGTCAACAAGAAGCACCCTTGTAAGCAAAAACTTTGTAAGGGAAAACTTTGTTAAAAATCTAAGCAATGGCAGGACAAATCTTCAAAAATTAGAATATTTGCATAACCTTTAAAACATTCGTTGTTATAAACCCAACAAGTCCAACAAGTAATTTGCTAAATATCAAATAAGCCACCTTTTATTTTAATACAAGACCTACCAGTGGCTGAAAGTTTGTCCTGCAGTCACAAAGCAAAAGTTGTAACCTGGAAAATATGTTCTTACTACAAGAACTACATTTAATCCAACCAACCCCTAAAAAAAATTTATTAATTTGAAAAATACTTAAAAATCTCCCCATAAAATGTTGTTGTTCCAGAAAGCTTAAATGCATAATCTAACTCAATTAGGAAAATGGGAGCAAGGAAACAAGCTTACCCTCCTTGTAGTGGTCCTCCACTGTGATGATCTGCCCCCCTGTGGCTCTTGCACAGGTCAAAATGGTGGCGGCATCCAAGGGCTTGATGGTAAATGGGTCGATTACGCAAATGTTTTTTCCTACAAATTAAGGTTTGTTATTCAGGCTGCTATTTGCTTAGAATTTTTTTTTTTAATTTTTTTATACAAGTTTACCTTCACTTTTAAGCGTATCATAAGCAGTCAAAGCTTCATGAAGAGTGACACCAGCTCCAATCACAGTCACCACGTCGCTGTCAGACTGGCGCACAATCTGGAGGCCATTCAATCAATGTCAGCAAACATCAAATGAAGTTTGGTTGTGATTCTGCCCCGTTTTCAGATAAATTACTCGCCAGTATCGATTACCTTGGCTTCACCCACTTCAAACTTCTCATCTGGTGAGTAGATCACTGCAGTGGCTGGTCTGCTTGTACGAATGAAGCAGATTCCCTAAGACACAGAAAGCGGTATGTGACTATCGACTTTGGGGGGAATGTTTGCTGGGAAATCTTAAGGCAAGCCTTTACCTTTGTGTTAGCAGACAGTTCAACAGCTCTCTCCGTCGACACAGCATCGCTCGGATAAAACACAGTGCATGTCGGTATGGCGCGGAACATGGCCAAGTCCTCGAGAGCCATCTGAGACGGACCGTCCTCACCTAAAGGTTGATATGACCGTACAGAGTTCTCCCATTTAATTATAGATAATACCAGGAGAACAGACCTCAAGGTTCAGCATGAAGGTGTACTGAACAAATGCAGTGTTTTAAGCCAAAACACACACAATGTTTATGTGCGGAACTTCAGAGACACTAGAGCAGAGGTCCCCAAAGTCGGTCCTCGAGGGCCGGCATCCAGCATGTTTTAGTTCTCTCTCTGATTTAACGCACCTGGATCAAATGATGGCTCGTTCGAGGCCTAAGAAGAACATTGACATTCTGAAAAGGTTGTCACTACCACCAAGGAGAGAACTAAATCATGCAGGCTGCCAGCCCTTGAGGACTGACTTTGGGGACCCTTGCTCTAGAGGCAGAACACCCAACCATCACTAAAGTCTGCCATCTAGGAACATTAAGATTAACTACTTAGTGACAGTGATGGAGAAGTAAGGCAGACCATACCAAAGTTTAACAGCAGTGGTTTCAAAAGCTTTTTTAAATGCATCAGCAGCAAGGAAATCTGCTGAACCATGAGTTCAAAATAGAGACGTGTGCAGAACAGAACTTTTGATGGCAATCATTTACAGCCACAATCTTACCAATGGAGACACCGCAGTGAGATCCTACTAGGTTGACGTTGGACTGTGAGATCGCTCCCATACGAATCTGATCGTAGGCTCTAGAGAAGAAGGCAGCAAACGTGCTGGCAAATGCAACTGTGCGGTCACGAGTAGCACAGCCAATGGCGACTCCTACCTGTAATTATAGGCAAATACTGTTCTATAAGTCAAAATAACATGAGATAACAGAGATCCAAACATTGAAGGCTCAAAAGATAAACCTGGCCACAAGTGACCAAAGAAGCTGGAGCGTGAATAACAGATTATACCATATGGAACAGAAAGGAAGAATATCAATAAGAGTGAGTGTGTGTGTGTTTTACCATGTTTTGTTCAGCAATGAAACACTCAATATAGCGATCAGGGTGGGCTTTCTTGAATAATTCTGAAAAAGTGGAGTTTTTGGTGTCTCCATCCAGGGCAACCACCCTCTTGCTTCCCTGACCCAACCTGGCCAGTGCTACACCATAGGCTTGCCTGGTTGCCATCTAAAGGGGAAGATGCGAACAGGGTAAAGCAAAGACTGAAGGATTATCAATGTAAGTGGTCACACAAATGAAAGAAATTTAAGTCGGTAAGACTTATGGAACAAACATATTGATTATTCATTTGCGTCTTCATTCACAGCCAAATTACAGCATGAAGAGTCTTTTTTTTAAATCATAAAAAGTGTATTTTCCTACCTTATCTCCCTTCTTATAGGCTGGGGGTGTAGGTAGGGAGATGGGGCTCAGGTCAGCTGGTGCTGCATCGTCATTGGGCAGTTCTGGGCAGAGGGTCTTGTTGGGAACCTGGATCTGAGACTGCAAGTCCTTCAGAAGACCATCTACCTTGTCCTTAGGGATTGGCTTTCCATGCCAGTTCTCTAGATCCTCAATGTCTGCAGAGCCATGGATAAACAAGTTTCAGTAAGAAAATTTGGGATTTTGTTTTTAAAGAGAGGAAACATCTTGAAATTTTGTTTATACATACTGTTGAGTCCTTTTCCTTTGAGGGTCTTTGCAACAATACAGGTGGGTTTGTCCTTTACCTGCTTCGCCAGCCAGAAAGCTTTACACAGTTCCTCCACGTCATGCCCATCCACAACATAAGTATTCCACCTACACATATTTAAATATAATAGAAATCATTACTAAAATAAATCTCGGAAAAGTTTGATT